ACGAGTGGACATGACTCAAATTGTGGAATAGTCGAATCTCTAGAGTGGGTCTAACGTTGAACTAACAATGTACAGCAAGTTAGGCAAAGCAAATCTACATGGCACATTGAAAGAGCTCGTGACCAAAGATCCAGTTTGACTGTAACAAAAATCAGATTAACTCTACTTGCATGTATGTCAGTAAGTTCAGATTACGGAAAGTGTTTTGTGGAATTGACTTCAAGCTGTTCCTTGATAGATCTCTGAAAAGAAAACACAGTATTTTTAGTTAAATATTTGAATTCAAATGGAATCTTTTTGTCTCTAGGACTGTACTGATTGGGTAGTTTGAAATAGGCATTTGTGCTTTGTATGTGGTTACGGTTTCAAGTATTTATGTCATGACGTCATTTTATGTTCTCTAACCAAATATGAATATTATTTCAATTCTCTGGTTAATGATCATCCAACATGGCGGCGATGACATTAGTTGAAAACGACCAATGGACGAAGAACTAGGATGATAGATTTTAAAACACACCAGCAAGGCTTGCGTTCGTCAGACCATTTTAATCTCACTGAATGTACTATACATAAAAAGTTTCAGTAAAAACAATGCCTCATGATTTAAATGTAAAGTTAATTTTTTTCATAGTTAGTCCATGTTCGATTCCCGCCGATCTCTCGAGTCTGGTCTGATCTTTTTCGAACAGCCGCTAGTAATTAAGTCACGGCTATAGGTTCTAATGACGTGTCTTTTGTGAATTGTGCTGAGTTGGAGCTATTACTTTCACTACAAAAATACGATTTGCTATCTTGTGTTTCCATAAAGCTGATCAACTTACATGGCCTTGAGTAATGTTAGATTTCTAAAGGCGTCTTCTTCTATCGACCTCAAATGATTTGCCGAGAGAATTCTGAAAGAGAACCATGGCAACACCAGAAAAGTTTAGAAGACTTATAATGTGAGTGGCCAACACACGTTGTGTCTTGAGCAGTGTACGTTTATCGTAACCAGGGAACTAAACAAAGGAGGTGGAGGGAGGACATAGATATATGACTATACATGCTATACCACCGTGACCATACAGTATCAAAAAGAAAGCAAGGGATTATTTGCTTTAATTGTTGCATTTTTACTTTATTTGACCATATGTAATTAAGGAAACAGGCAATATTTGGGAACGTTGTGGAGCCATATAGCAAAAACATTAAGTGGATAAATATTAAAACTTCCCATGCAATTGACTAGGAATATAACTGAGGACATTTTAATCATTTCTCGTTATTTCACCCATCTGAGGAGGGTTCTGGAAAATATTAAAGATTAAAGTTTGTGGTATATTTAAAGGGTTATAAATGTAACTTCGCCTCACTTACAAATGTGCCGTATTGGACGGTAAATCACGTGGCACTTGCTTAATTTCTTTACAAGTTACAGCGGTCCCGTTGGGGCCAAAAGGAACGCAGGTACATGTCCCCGGATGAACATCTTTCAAACAACACAAACCAAACGCCACAAACCAACCCACCAACACGAACTGTGTCAGAATAACAACTGGCCTTACAGGCTGGGCTAGTACTGCTTTTCCCATCTGCGGAGAGAAAGCACGAATGCGTTTTCTGAATTATGTCCACGTTCAAGCCAATTCTCTTTTTTACACTAAGTCCTATTACAAGAAAATGCAGAAAAGCAGAGCACAAATGCAAAATTTCATTTAACAAGAAAGGAGTCTGTAGTGGCGGAAGGGGCTCAACCTTTCGAGTTGGCCACTACCATAGTGAATATATTCAACAATGAGTATAAACTGTACAAGATAAATAAGCTCAGTCATTACAGACTAAACAGTAGATGATGTAGCCTTTACTGCAAAGCAGAATGGTTCAAACATTAAATTCCTTAAGCTATTGCAGACGTGATAGTCTACGATTACGTCTCCCTTAGGATCAGTGAATGGTGAACAAGCATTAGACAGTTCATAGTCGGCTAAAGTGCTAATACAAGACCTAATGAGTCTTCGGGCTTCCAACGGCTTTTAATCTACTGCTGCTACTAACCTTAAGAACATACAGTGCAAGCCTCTTAAGGTGGCCGAACGCAGTTTTGATACCTGTGTTTCATTTTTCTTTTTCTCTAAAACCCTTAATACTGGCAACAAGCAATTTAATAACACAAACTTCAGATTTTTGATAGCTAAGCAGACGTATTAGCCATTGCCATGGCAACAAAAATAAATATAAACAAGCATTTAAAATCGATTTTGTTTGTTTGCAGAAAATCTAGTCGTTAGATTTTCTTTTTCATTTGCATGTAACAAGATTTTAACAATGCTCACAAGTTAACACTATTTTAATAATGTTTTAACAGAGAGACTTTAAAAGTGTGTCCATGAGAAAACCAGGCAGGAGGCGATAAAGCTCAAATCGCCGATTTCGCTCAAACTTGGCGCAAATGTTGGCTTTGGCGAGTAAATGATTATGGCAAAAACGTAGGTCAAAATATTTTATTCCCTTCAAGTTAGGGGGAACTCCTCCAAAAATGGCCGTTTGTCACTAATTTATGCATATTTAATTAGCTGTCTTTGATTTAGTATTTCTACAGCAAGAAAGGTCATGTGAAAATGAAATCTACTGCATCATGTTCTACTATTATCACTCTCAAAGCACAGATATTCATATGAACCAGACAATTTGATTTCTCTCCGTGGCTCCATCTTAAGTAAGGTGCATACTTCATAGTGTTGTGAATAGCCTTTAATTGATGGCAAATATCTGCACTGGGCAACAGTAAAAATACATAATTCTAATATGGCTAGTGAGAGATATCACTAAAGTTCTCAAAAAAGCCATAAAATGTTTGGAGACTTCAATATATTTTCTGTGCTGGCATACTGTTTACATAGCCGGACTTCACGATTTTTGGCCGTTTCATGAACATCTACTAAAACACACAACCCGTTTTTAACTAACTCGAAATCAACAAAAAATATCAACCAGAATGCCTGGGAATGCCTCAGAAGTTTGAAATTTAGAAACCAGAAATAACACCCAATGGCCTCTCACTATCACTACTTGATTTCAATGTCACCATCTCCAAAGACGGCAAAAGCTCTTTTCAATTTTACAACAAAATAACAAAGAAACCACAATTCGTTCACCACCAATCAGCAATACCGGAAAAGTCAAAGATCAACTTCATTCGTAATGAGCGGAAACGTGTCGACGATAAATGTTCTACAAAAACGACAGCCACAAAGCATCAAAACATGTTCGACGACGTCCTCCGTCTTAACGGGTATCCTGAAGGCACTATAGACAAAGCTAAGCACTCCCAGAACCATCAGAAAGACCCTCGACCTCTCAACACAGAATGGTCGTACTTGAAGATCCCATATGTCTCCGAACGTCTCAACTACAAAATCACTTACATTTTCCGAAAAGAGGGTATACCAGTACGGGTCCCGCACAAGTCATACATCCTCAGACGAGCTCTCTCTCAGAATAACATAAACGGACATGCACGAGGGCCAACTGCCCTATCTTCAGTACCAAATTGTGCTTATTACGCAACGCTGTTTACCAAATCCCGTGTAACAACTGCAACCAATACTACATCGGGAGCACTACAAGCTTTATCCACGATCGAGTAAGAGAACACCTGAACAATGACAAGTCCTCCGTGAAGAAACACATTTCAAAGTGCCAAAACAAAGTCCACAAAGGCATCAAAATTAAGACCATTGTACTAGAAAACGACCCCGCAAATCTACGACTGTTCGAAGCATTTTACATACCAAACTACCGCGGACCTTTTATTCTAATAATTATTTTAACATATCTAGAGACTCTTTGTACTTTGACACTCGCTCATTAGATCATATCATTCATTTTTATTCATATTTGTATCTTATTATTTAGCTCTTGCATTCTACCCCCCACATTCTTTCGCTTTTCACACGATTTTACTCTATATCTGTATGGAAGCCTTACGCGGAATATTTTTTCTTATCCCTGATGATGCCGTAGATCGGCGAAAGCTTGGACTTTTTTAAACGATTTTAATATCATTTTACAGTAGTGTAAGGCCTCAATTGAACTTTTGCCATTTTCAAACAAGAAGATATTTTAGATCTTATAACCGCGCTTTTAAATTGTAACTATTTTCTTAGCACTACAGTCGCAACGCAGTTCACATTCCAAAGCAGTCCTTGATGATTCATTGGTTGCTGTAGACACCACATCACTTGATCAACACGAACTGTATTCTTGCACCATCGCTCCGGCTTAGCCTTTGTAAAAGCTATGATAACGTAATGGCCTTAATCTGGAAGTCCGCTCGTGACATGCCCATGAATGATACGAAAAGGAAACGAGTGCCACGTTATTAATAACGCTATAAACAAACAGCTTTCTTCCTTAAAAGTCAAAATTTAATTTGTTTATGCTATGCGTAAGAACAAGCAAAGTAGTCACGCGCGAATCCACGGCTATCCACGGCGAATTTTAGAATGG